ATGGTTTTGAATGTAAGATCTATAGGGTATGGTATTAAAATGCACAACTAACGCATTTGTTTGTTGTGATAGATGTTATGAGCACCATACAAGGTACCTCTGTTGACAATAACAGGCTCTGAAAGTAAGTTTGATTTTTATTTCTCATGTGCCATGACTTTTTCTCTCACAGAAGTTATGGTTTAAAGAGTGTTGATTGGATGAGGTATAATCAGACGGAGTCGGCCAAGGTTGTCCAAAGTGCCAAGGGAATCGTTGCTTTGTTAGAAATGATTAAAGTGTTCCCATAGATCAAAACAGTCTCCCATTCACAGCTGACTGAAAGGCTTGGTCTGTGGCAAAACCCATTAAGAGAGCCTACGGACTCAAAGCAATGTCTTCTGGCAGCTCTGCATTGCTCTTGGAGCAGTGAGCCATTGTTTATTCATCGCTACATTGGCATTCAAAGTGCATCCTCACTGTTCTCTCTCATAACCAACAAGTTGCAATTTTTATGCATGTGAAGGTTGAAGGCAAATTATTTATGGGAGACTGGACCTAAAGAAAGTAAATGGCTGCCTGCAAAGAATGGTTGAGAGCAATCCTTTTCCACATAAGCTATTGAATTTACCGGTTCACATCAAAATATGCATGTATTATTCAGCTTTTAAAAAAAAGAAAAGAAAAAGGAATTGCTGGCCTGCGAGAAAGCTTTCTGCCTTTTCGAAACATTGTGATGAATTCAAAAACATGCCACCTATCAGGATCAGGTTAAAGTCTTATTTTTCAGCAGGAGGCAAATAAAATGAGCAGAGAAAACGAGCCTCCCTGGTGCAGCTTCTGTAGGGTTTTTACTACTGTGCACTGCACTGAAGGTTTCAGATAAGGAAACGAACTTGGACGTATACGAGCACATCTGTGAGTGTTAAAACTCAAACAACTCTAAGGTGATTAGAGTCCCAGGAGAAAGGGGAGCCTAACTTTTACCGCTGATTAAAATTATTCCACATCTGGTTTCATCTAGATGCAAAAAATAGCATGTTTGAATCATGAAGTGCAAAACACAAGCAGGGGCAAAGTCAAAGGAGGGGCAGGAAATCTGTTGCCCTCCACAGAAGCAGAGATGACTGTCTAGTGCTAAACAAAACTGTGCTCTACGACTCCTTACTTTCAGAAGGAAAGATCTACAAATTAATGGTTGTGACTTTCAGTCAGTGTAACGCTCTGACAGTAATATAGCACATGGTGGTGGGCTGTGTTTCTCCGGTTCACAGAGCTTTAGTAGCTCCATAAAGAACAATTTTTGGTTGCTCATTACAGTGTAATGTTCCATTACAAAACACTGTTGGAACTTTATGAATGTAGACTCTCTCATTGTTCCTTTGATGGATCTTGACATGTGAAAAGTGGAGCATATTTATGCAGTAAGGTGGTGCAATAGAAGCCTCTATTTAAATATATAATCTCAGTTTAGCTTATTTTGGAATCCATACATACAACGAGCATAGTTAAAGATTTGCAGGTAAATTAATTTCTTCCCATTTTATGGAAGGGGAACAGATTATTTTAGTTTGCTAAACTATATGGTTCCCCCCTCATAACTCTTGCAAGCAAGGAGCAAATGCTACCAAAATCAGAGGATTTGTTGTTGATAAAGAGATAGGATTAAATAAAGTTACACACTTGCGGGTAAATTAATTTGTTCACATGTTATGGAGAGGAAAGTATTTATCTTAGTAAACTAAATTATATGGTTCCACTCCTTTAATTTTGGCAAATAATGATCAAATGTCACCAAATCCACAGGGTTTGTTGTTAATGAAGAGAGGAATAAAAACAGTTAAATACTTGCAGGTAAATTAATTTCTTCCTATGTTATGGAGGGGGAACAGATTATTTAAGGCAGCTAAAATATCCATTCTCTCCTCTCCTTCTCCCATATCTTTGGGAAATATCGAGCAACTGTTTCCAAATTCTCAAAAAATTTTATGTGTGACAGCATGTCATATACTAGAAATTTTGTTATTCTATAATCTGTAATATTTAATATTAGAACAGGATTTCTACACTCTCATCTTTGCAGGAAGTCTAAATTGTTGTGCCCTGCTATCAGCCAGTTTCCATCCTCTTATATCAGCGATGAAAAATTATAAATACACACTACATGTTGAAGTGACAACACAAAACAGCAAAAGACCTTGTTTATTTATTTATTTTACAAAAAAACAGCTGCCGATTAAACTGAATGTGCCTGCCTTGACATGATTATACGAGAAATGTTTCAGAACCCCTTTGAAAATGATCAGATCCACCTCTCTGGCTGCAATGCGCATTCCCGAAACAAGGGGAACAGATTTTCATAGAGAAACAGAATGTCGCACAAGACCAGAACAGGGCCTCCGTTGAAACCAAAATAAGTAAGAAGTAAGAGTAAGAGTAAGTAAGAGTAATGTCCCTGATTCTGTGAGGTTTTCAGCAGATAGCTGAGCAATAATCAATTAATTTATTTTATAAAAATCTACGGGGCTAACTGGAATGGCCTCTGTTTAAAAAACTTCCGGTTTAATGAGATTCCTTCCGGTTTCACCGAAATGCCTTCCTCTTTTGAACTGAAATCTGCAATAGCTTTTCAGTAGTGTATATGAAAGGTAAAGCTTTCACCAGTTCAATCTGACAAACTCGCACAAAGAGAAAAGATAATTAGAAGAAATTTATTGATACAATTATTTTGTCTTTGGCGCTCAGACCTCGGCAGGAAACATAACGCTTAATATTGATATGCTTGAACAGGAGCAAAGAATAGGGCTGTTTCCCCCCAGGCCTGAAACTGGTGGTGGAGCGGTGATAGATGAAGTTGGTCAGTCTGTAGACTGCTGGTTGGCGAGGAGGTATGCTGAGCTTAATGGTGAAATCCAGTGGACTGCTTGAGCTGATACTAGAGCTTCACTCTGGGATCTGGAAGATGGAAGTCTGGCTTGCATAACACAGGTTGAGAGAATCTTTCCATGATGAGGAAGAAAAACTCCCCATTGGGAAGAAACCTCTGGCAGAACCAGGCTCAACATGGCGGTCTTCTGCCTGACTGGTTGAAATGACACGCAGAATGCAGTAAGAGTCCGGGAGTAATGAAACCCTGATGAAGCTTTACCTGTGATGGTGGAGGAGGGGCTGGAGGTGAGTTGAAACTGTGTCATCTGAATGAGTCACATAGCGCATCCACCGCCTGTGCACTAGGAGCAGACAAGTTGCGGATCGGAGGTCTTTTAAGATGAACTTTGGATGCTGATTGGCTTTCTTGGAGGTGTGGTACAAAGCTGATTGGCTGTGTTGCAGGTGGATGTAAGAAAGCAACTAGTTTCTTCAGTTGAATTACTGCCTAGGCTCCATTTTATATGAATGGTTCTCACTTTGTGTGAGAGCTTTTGAGTAGGTTATATAAGAGGTAAACGTTTTCACTGCTTCATGTGAGAGCTTTTCACTAGTAATTGTGCAAGGTTTTCAGTAGGTTATCCATCCATTCATCCATTTTCTTACACGCTTAATCCCAAGTGGGGTCGCGAGGGGTGTTGCTGCCTGCTATCTCCAGCTGTCTACAGGCGAGAGGTGGGGTACACCCTGGACAGGTTGCCAGCCCATCGCAGGGCAACACAGAGACAAACAGGACTTCAGTAGGTTATATAAGAGGTAAATATTTTCTCTAATTTATGTGAAAGCTTTTCACTTGTGGTCATACATGTTTTTTTAAGTGTATGATATGAAAGAGTTTAATTTGTTATGTGCATCCAAAATAGTTTACACCTATGAAATCAAATAAAAGCTAGACATGGTTTTCATTTTTACTAACTAAAATCTGAAAAATGTGGATGACGTTGCTCTGGTAGAATGAGACAGACACTGAACCTTTGTCATGATTTGGTTGGAGGTTTTTGTAAGGACCCAAATGCAGAGCCAGAGAGGCAGGGGTGAGTTCTTAGAAGATTTTATGGGATAACTACGGTGGCCCTGAAGTGCAAACTGCAACTACAAATCTAAAAGCGCAACTACATTAAGGAAATCGCAACTACATAAAGCAAAGCGCAACTACATTAAGAAAAACAAAACTACATAAAGCAAAGCGCAACTACATTAAGAAAAACAAAACTACATAAAGCAAAGCGCAACTACATTAAGAAAAACAAAACTACATGAAGCAAAGCGCAACTACAATAAGGAAAACAAAACTACATAAAGCAAAGCGCAACTACATTAAGGAAAGCACAATTACATTAACTTACCGGAAAAGGTAGGTACCAGTGGGAAACATGAGACATCGCTGATTGGACGACAGCGCCGTTTGACTTGTAGTTGCAGTTTGCACTTCAGGGCCACCGTAGATAACACAGGTAGCAAAAATCCAACTTGAAAGTGCTAAACAAAAATAGGTATACAAAAATCCAACATAGAAATTAAACACAAACCAGAATCATGGAGACATCAGGGGAAAACAATCACAAGGAGCCAGGGTGAGACAAAGTAAGACCAGGAACCAGCACTGAGGGACTGCAGGTGGAGTGTATTTATGGCTGACTGAACTGTTAACAAGCAATAAGATTTTCTATAATGTTCAGGTTCTAGAGTGTGTGTATGTGATTCTTTTGTTTTTTGAATTGTTTGTTACCTTTGTGGGTGTTTCCTTTTTAGAAGCCATCTTGGAACCTTGCTAAGGAGGAGGCCCGCCTCAAACCCAGCTCTCTTATAGAGGGAGCCATGATGGCTGAACTTTGATTGGCTGTGGGTAAATTGAGAAGGCGGGGATAACAGTATATAGGTGGACTGATTGCTGTAGTAAGAGTCTGATGGGAAAGCTGCCATTTTGTGTTCAGTATAACCATGCTCTGATGGAAGAACCTTAATAAATGACCTTTTGTTTTTGCTCCAACCAACTTTGCTGGATTTTTCCTTCCACACCACACCTCTCAGCTCAACAGTGGTGTCAGAAGTGGGATCTTTACGCTTTTGCTTGAAGGAGGAAATCAGGCTAAATGAGAGGAGTAGGACGTGGAAGAACTCGAGGAACAAGGAAAAACCCTCTTTCTGAAATGGAAGAAAGAGATAGTGGAGGAACAGCAGAACCAGATCCAGCACCTGAAGGAGTCATGTCTGGTGAAGATGTCTTTGAACCAGTGGTGCGGCCTAAACAGACCACAGTTGGTACTGTGAGTAAAGAACTTTGTGAAACTGACATCTTTGATGAAATAAGAGAATTTATGCGACATTCTAAACGAACCGAAGCAATTTTGTTTGAACAGATTAAACAGTTGCGCAGTAACATGCCAAAGCTGCAAAGTGATGTATATACTGAACTTGATGAGACGATTGTACAGACTGAAGTTTCTACAGAAGCAGTTTTCCCAAAGCGAGAGAGCAGAACACTATCTCAGCTATTAGCAACAGAGCAAGCCCAAGGAGCCTCTGGTTACCAAGCTGAACCTCGTTATCCATCTCAACCACTTCCTGCACAGCCTCAGCTGTGTGGTGCGCATGATGTTCCAGGACAAAGAGTGGAACCAACCCGTGGAGGTGATCCTAGGATACCTGACTTCAAGGAAGGTGAGGATCCTGAAAGTTTCTTCATACGTTTTGAACGCATAGCTAAAACATGGGGATGGCAACCAACTGAATGGGCTGCTAGAGTGGTCACATTATTGACTGGAAAAGCACTGGAGGCCTATGCTGGTATGGATGAAGACCAGTCAGACTCTTATGAATCTATTAAAGCTGCTGTGCTATCTAAGTTTAATGTGACAGAAGAGACTTACAGATACCGGTTTCGAAGCACCAATGTACCTGTGGGAGAGAGTGTGCGTGAAACCTACAGTCGGATAAAGGGACTCTACAAGCGATGGATGCGGCCTGACAGTCGGAGTAAAGAAGAGATCGGGGAAACCATCATCTTGGAGCAATATCTACGTGTGCTTCATCCAGACGTCCGCACATGGGTGAAGGAGAACAATCCAAAGACCGGAGAGGAAGCTGCAGATCTGGCTGAACGTTACTTGGCTGCTCACAGAGAACCTTCAAAGTCAAGAGTAACTGTGGGGAGACCAAGGTTTGTGGAGGTAAAACCTCCAGATGCAATAAAGACTGACAACTTGGACATGAGGGGTGGTAAGAAATCGGAACAATCCAGACTAAAGTATAACCTCACTTGTTACTATTGTCAGCAGCCTGGTCACAAAGCTTCTTTATGTCCTTTAAGAAAACCTAAGTCAGTAGAGTTATGTGTGGTACCCTCCAAAGAACATAATTATGAACTTTCTGATGGTTTGATTCCACATAAACATGTGGTAGATGTGATGATAAATGGCAAAGCTGTAAAAGCTCTTGCAGATACGGGTAGTTCACAAACTTTGGTGAAATCTTCTTTCTTGAACAATGTAATGCCTAACTTTAACAAGCTGGTAAACATTACTTGTGTTCATGGATGTCAGAAAGAGTATCCAACTGCAGATGTCACTATTGAAGTTGAAAGCCAAGCTTTTATGTTGACTGTTGGAGTTGTGAATCAGTTAGCATATGATGTTATCCTAGGGGAAGATTTACCAATCCTAGACAGTTTGGTTCAAGAAAATTCTGTGGCATATTCCTGTGCTGTCATGACACGATCTATGAAAAAGGGCTTAGAACCTCTGCCAGATGCAGATGATGATTTGTATGAAGGAGGAAGTAAAATCAGGAAATCAAAACGACAACGTAGACAGGAGAAAAACAAAAGCAAGTCAAAACTTCCTGAACCTACATTACCTTTAATTCCATGTGTTGATCTCCAGTGGCAAATTCCTAATAACTTTAAAGAAAGACAAGAAAATGATCCATCTCTGATACCTCTCTTTGATAAAGCAAACAAAGATGGTGAAAAAGAGACTACTGTGGAGTTCAAAAGTTTAGCAGGAGAGCCTTTTATTATAAAGGACGAACTTTTGTATCTAGCAGACATTGATGAACCCAGACTTGTTGTACCAAAAGAATACCGTTCAGTAATTTTGCATTTGGGTCACACTGTACCATGGTCAGGGCACCTAGGACAGGCAAAGACATATAATCATGTTGCTCAGCGTTTTTATTGGCCAGGATTATATAAAGATGTGATTGAGTACTGCAAATCATGTCATGATTGTCAGTTAGTAGCCCCCACTAAAGTTTCAGACCGTGCCCAGTTGCAGACTTTACCAATAATGACTGTTCCTTATGAGAGAATCGCCATGGATATTATAGGTCCTTTACCTAAGAGCAGTAATGGTCAAAAATATGCATTAGTTATCTGTGACTATGCAACCAGATATCCAGATGTTTTTCCATTACGTTCTCTCCAGGTCAAACACATTGTCCGGTGTTTGGTAGACCTTTTCTCCAGAGTTGGTATCCCAAAGGAGATTCTAACTGATCAAGGTACCAATTTCATGTCACAAGTGATGAAAACTCTTTATGATCAACTGGGAGTAAAAGGTATTCGTACTACTCCATACCATCCAGAAACCGATGGTTTGGTAGAACGATTTAATGGTACATTAAAACAAATGTTGAGAAAGTTTATTGATGAAACTGGGAAAGACTGGGATAAATGGTTGCCTTTTCTTTTGTTTGCATACAGAGAAGTACCACAAGCCTCAACTGGTTTTTCTCCTTTTGAGTTGCTTTATGGGAGACACGTTAGAGGCCCTTTGGACATGCTGAAGGAGAACTGGATGGCTGGAGGGGCATCTGGATCCAGTAAAAGGTCTTCACCAACAACAAACGTCATCTCCTACATACTGCAAATGAGAGACAAACTGGAAAAATACAGAGAACAAGTTAAAGACCATATGCAGAAAGCACAACACAAGCAGAAGGTATGGTATGACAGACATGCCCGTGAAAGAGAGCTGAAAACTGGCCAGAAAGTTTTAGTACTTTTGCCCAGTGGACCAAGTAAGCTACTAGCTAAATGGCAAGGACCCTACACTGTGATTAAAAGAGCAGGTCCGGTAACTTATGAAATTGCTTGTCCAGAAAAACAAAAGTCAAAGCAATTGCTCCATGTAAATCTGCTAAAGGAGTATCATGAAAGAAATGTTCCAGAAATGGATGTGAAGCAAACCCTGATGGTACAAGACATTCAGCCTGAAGACAGTGCCATGTTGATGGATGGAGAAGCTGAAATGAGTCCATGCAGAAAATTGGCCAAATCTGAAGAGGCTCCAAAGCATCTGACTCCAGACCAGTGGCAACAGCTGGGTGAGATTAAACAATCTTTTCCATCACTGTTTGCAGATGTACCTGGGCGAACTGATGTCATAACACACAAAATAACCTTGAAAGACACAACACCTGTTCGTCTTAAGCCTTACAGGATTCCCCAACAGATGATGGAACCACTGAAACAGGAGGTCCAGACAATGCTGGAAATGGGAGTGATAGAGCCATCAAGAAGTGAGTGGTCAAATCCCATTGTGCTTGTTCCCAAGAAGGACTCATCTCAACTACGCTTTTGTTCTGACTTAAGAAAGTTGAACAGCATTTCTTGTTTTGATTCTTACCCCATGCCACATATTGATGAGCTACTGGAAAGATTGGGGAAGGCCAAATACATCACAACCTTAGACTTATGTAAAGGTTACTGGCAAGTCCCTTTAGATCCATCCTGTAAAGAATACACAGCTTTTCAGATTCCAGGAATGGGTTTATTCCATTATACTGTTTTACCCTTTGGTCTTCATGGGGCACCAGCTACCTTTCAAAGGTTGATGGACATTATTCTCAATGACTGTTCAAAGTTTGCTGCTGCCTACCTGGATGATGTTGTGGTATACAGTGAGACGTGGGAGGATCACCTACAACACCTTGAGGATGTGTTGGCAAAGATCCAGAAGGCTGGTCTCACTTTGAATGTGAACAAGTGTGCATGGGCGCAAGAAGAAGTTAAATATCTGGGTTACCTTGTTGGCCATGGACAAATAAGGCCACAACTTGAAAAAGTAAAAGCCATTCAAACAATCCCCAGACCCAAAACAAAGAAGCAAGTGAGATCATTTTTGGGCTTAGTTGGGTGGTATAGGAGATTTATACCCCACTTCTCAACTTTAGCAGCCCCTTTGACTGAGTTAACAAAAAGATCTACTTCTAAAATCATGTGGAAGGATGACTGTGAACATTCATTCCAATCTTTGAAGAAACTGATCTGTCAAGCTCCTGTTTTGCAGAGTCCTAACTTTTCCAAGCCATTTATTGTTCAAGTGGATGCTTCAAATGTTGGTCTTGGAGCAGTGCTCGCTCAGGGAGAAGCTGGTGAAGAAAAACCTGTCCTTTTCTTAAGTAAAAAGCTGTTTGACCGAGAGAAAAAGTACTCCACAGTAGAAAAGGAAGGACTTGCAATAAAGTGGGCTCTGGACTCTTTAAAATATTATCTCCTAGGAAGGGAGTTTACTTTGCAAACCGATCATAGACCTCTGAAATGGATGCACTCCATGCAGCATCAGAATGCACGGATATTTCGTTGGTGCCTTGCCCTTCAGCCATACCAGTTCACCATACAGCATTGTCCAGGTAAGAAAAATCTGATTGCTGACTACCTTTCTCGTTTGCCTGAGTTTTGTGAACCAGAGGGGGGAGGAAGTGAGTAAATGTTAAGAAGCAATAAGATTTTCTATAATGTTCAGGTTCTAGAGTGTGTGTATGTGATTCTTTTGTTTTTTGAATTGTTTGTTACCTTTGTGGGTGTTTCCTTTTTAGAAGCCATCTTGGAACCTTGCTAAGGAGGAGGCCCGCCTCAAACCCAGCTCTCTTATAGAGGGAGCCATGATGGCTGAACTTTGATTGGCTGTGGGTAAATTGAGAAGGCGGGGATAACAGTATATAGGTGGACTGATTGCTGTAGTAAGAGTCTGATGGGAAAGCTGCCATTTTGTGTTCAGTATAACCATGCTCTGATGGAAGAACCTTAATAAATGACCTTTTGTTTTTGCTCCAACCAACTTTGCTGGATTTTTCCTTCCACACCACACCTCTCAGCTCAACATGAACAAAGGCAGGACTAACGAGCTGATAAGGAGCAGGTGTGAGTAGAGCTGACTGGGAAGCCAGGGGAAAAGAAAACACAAGGGGGCAACAGAGGACAAGCAAAGAAAAACTTAAGAAACTTAAATAAATCGAGAACACATCAGCTAGAAAACAAAGAAAAACATGGATAAACGTGAAACTGAAAACTTAGAGAAAACCAACAAAGCCAAGGTGGTTACAACCTTTTGGTTCACACATACAATTATTTTGTGTTATGAGATCTGAGTTTTTTGTTTTCAGTTATTAGTTATTCTGTTTTGTTAATCTTTGGTTTATTTTCCATTATATTCAAGCAGTATTTAGTTACTCTCTGTTTGCCCCTTGTGCTTGTTTCCTTTCCCCTGGGCTTCCTTCTAGTTAGTTCCACTCACGCCTTCTCCTTATTCAGCTCATTAGCCCATCCTTTGTTCTGTTCCCACTTATATACTCCACCTCTGCAGTCACTCAGAGCTGGATCCTTGTTGGTTTTTAGTTGCTTCCTCATCTCTGTCTTCCCACGTGAGTTTTTCCTAACGTTTTCTAATCTCTTGGCTGTTGTATTTTTGGATTTTGCCTCTGTTCTATCGTTAAATCTACAAGATTCAGCTCTGCCGCCTGATCTCTGCATTTGGGTCCTCAAATACCACAATACAATATATAGGGTAAACTAACACTGAACGTCAACTTCCAAACACTACTTTAACTCCACTTTGAAACACAGTGGTGGCAGCATTATGCTGCGCACATGCTTGTCTACACCAGCAAAAGGAATGTTGAATATAGATAATGGGTTGAACTAAACCTACTTGTGTTAAATGGACCAGTCAAAACCCAGACCTAAATCCCACCGAGCATCTGTGGCAACATCTGAAAATGATTTTCACAAAAGCTCTCTATCCATTCTCCTTGAGCATGAACTAATCTCTCATTTTTGTTGCTTAGTTTTATTTAAATTAGTTTTTTTTAGATAAGCTTAGGGGTTTTTAAGATGATTCCTCAGGCCAATATACAGTGCTTGACACTATCAATGCTACAAGCGGGGCTGCCCTCTTGAAATACCACAATGTAAGTTGGGACTAGATGCACCGTCATTGGTCAGGTCATGTGACCTGGAAGAACCTATTCCTTTATGGCCGCAGGCCCTTATATAGTCATGGAGCTAAGGCTTTATTATTTTCCTCCTGCTTGACTACTGGTCATGGTTGAGGCAAGAAAAAAGTTACACGTCTAGTGCCCCTAGTGGCCAAAAGTTACTCGGTGTGCCTTTTACTGCAGAATTTCTAATGTTTGGGTTTTATAAGAAGAGTGATTAGAAATGACAGCAAAAAAGCATTTAAAACCTAAAAGGAAGCAACCAAATTTTAACATCAGACTAACAATGGAAAATAAGCTGGTAAGAGGGATTAGAGTAATATGTCACCCTGCCAGTTCAAGTAGATTTAGAATAGAATACAGTCAAAAGTTTTAAAGGCAGTGTCTACAGGATATGCTCTCTTCTCCATGAAACACAACTATGGCTAATATTTCTGCCAACAGAAAGATTTTGAAAGCTTTGTGACACACCCGGACCTTTAAATGAACAATAATATGCCTGTATGGGAGATGTGATGCACATAAAAGTGAGAGTACATTTATATCCAATGTTGATACAGTGCAGGATTTGGCTTTATACATAAGTTATGCTTTTACAAGAGGGAAATAAGAAGTTTTCACTGATATAGAATTGGAAGAACCTAAGTTGGAAGTTTAACAACTCCTAAGAAAAATTAAGCAATATAAAAAAGTTAAATATGTAGAATACATTTAATGCTCCCTAGGTATAGATTCTGATATGTAAAGAAATTTAATGTCATGCAGTTTTCACTCGAGCATCACTACAGTGTTTACAACTTGCAAAGCAGTTACAATAGGCTTAATTTTATATGTGATTATGTAGAGAATGTTCAAAATGTTTTAAAGAAAATATACTGATCATTCAAGGGACAATCAAGTATAAAATAAAAAATATGACTATTTATATCAATCATTTTGGTTATTTAGTCGCAAAGTATGGGGAAATCTCACACAGTGAAAACCCCTGAAATAAAGAGCCCTCAAAGTTACAAAATATTGTGCTACTTTACATAAATTAATATTATGTTGAACCTGGGACTGCTCCAATCAAATCCCTTCGGTCAAACGAGGGACATTCAGCAGACCCTTTCAAAATGATTGGGCTACGTGACATCAAGAGCCTGCCTTACCTCAGTTTGATTTTAGCCAGTCACAGTAAAAAGATAAGTTGGCAGCATATGTTTCTCTTTCAAAGATGCATTAATGAATTTCAACAAAATAGATGCCATGTTTGCCATGTTGATTTTGGTTTGGCTGTGGCTTCATTAGCTTTCATTACCGATGTACCTCCTCCATTACATTACAATACTGCAAAATGACTGGCCAACATGTTTTTGGTTGGACTTACAAGATTTATTCAGAGACGTATATAAATAATTTTTTGTGTCTTGTGTTGAGTCTTTATTACATCCATAATTGCAACAAATACAGTACTCTAACCTATTTATATCCTTAAGCATTGAAAAAATAAAACTAGCTTTTGAACTAATGAAATCTAAAGCAGTATGACAATATTAATAATGAATAATAATAATCAAGCACACTCTGAAAAACACAGATTAATTGAAGTAGAGAAGAAAAAGTTTCAACTAAATGAAAGTAGTAAAATCAAAATCCCAACCTTTTAACCTTGCAATACAGTCTAATCAAGAGTTACTTGATCCTGACAAAGATAAGTTACCAAGCAGTAGTCAATTTAGGGTGTAATAAAAGCATTTTCTAAACTAATTCTAGCAATAGCTCTATGCTGGAAAAAAAACTTCAGTACACCTATCAAGCATTGCACCCAGAATGGCTGTGATAAACCAAGAAACAGAGATGGATAGTAGAACTCTTAATGAATTTGGCTTTACCAAAGCAAAGGATTTGAGGTTATATCTTTCTCAATGTTCATCTTCAGCGAGTAGTTTAGTATTATTCTTTTGAACAATTAAATGGTTACAGCAGACTTTGATAACATTACGTCATTAAATATGCTTTATGTCGAGGTGCAACACATGCATAAAGTAGACCCGAGTACTGAAGATAAGCCCCTGAGGAATCCTGCAAGCAAAGTATAATTATCTAACTATACAAACGCACTTCCATGTGTTTTGACCTTTTGATCGCAATAATTGGTAAAGTTTTTGTTTCTATTTGTTGAAAGCTGATGAAGAAATTGTTGATGTAGGTGGATTGCATGGAGAATTTACAAAGTATTGACTTGAAAGATAAACACTCCTTTCCTGTGTTCATCAAGCAATGGAAAAATCCAATATTACCTTCAACTCTTTGGCGTATTGCCATATTGTCCTCCATGGTAACACTTCATTGGTGTGCTTCACAAGACCAACAAAAAAAAAGGCAGGTCGTACTATTCAGAAAGATCTGTTGAAAATATCTCAGTTTAGATGAAATGAGCTAGCACCTCTCAGTTAGAATCACTGATTTTTTTTTGTTGTTTTTTATTTTGACTTTATGTAAACATACACAAGCACAAGAGTAGTGAAAGTGATGAGACTCAGGCCCCGTCCACACGAAGACGAACCCTGGCCTAAACGCACAAATTTTTCACCAAACCAGCCTCTCATCCACACGAAGCCGGCGTTTCGGGGGTCTGTAAACGATCTTTTTTTTATTCAGCCTTCAGAGTGGGAAGATTTCGAAACGCCGTTTTCGCGTTTCCATCTTTACGCTGTAACCGCATTTTTTTTTTTACAAGCATGCGTCATAGCGTCGCCTCTAAACACGCATGCGCGACCAGTATCACAACAACAATGGCGCCGTTGCTGCTAATGCTACTCACCCTGCTGTCGGGCTTACAACAGAATCTTCTTCTTCTGGAATATCTCCAGGAAGAACAGAGCAATATCGACGACATAGTTCAGCACCTGAATTTGACTTAACCACGAAAATGGACCCGCAGGGCAACCATGTATATTAGTGCGCATGCCCAACATTTCGTCGCTTATTTTTGCTTTAGCACCACAGCGCCACTTACAGGCCTGGCATACATTTTGCAGCGTTTTCATGCATTCGTGTGGACGCTCACATTTATTTTACGTCTCCGTCTTTACGGCAAACGTTTTGGAAAATATCAGCGTTTCGTGTTCGTTTTGACTTCGTGTGGACGGGGCCTCATTATACAGAGGTCAACTGTGTCTCTCACCTAATTATAAAGGGTTCAAATTTAATTAAAGCAAACAA